TTTATTCGATGTCAGAATGTTCCATCATCAAGGACTTACTTTTAAGCTGCACCAATTATATAGATCTTTCGCCTCACGCCAATAGAATTACGGGCAAGGTTGCTCAGATTTGCGGCTTTTTTCTTATAATTTCACAGGGAACTGGTCGACGAGAGGGGTCAAGTTGTGATCATGAACGTTCAGATAACCCAGACGAATGTACGGTTAGCTAATCTCTAGCAAGTCCGCTTACTTTCTCCCTGACATCTTCTAGGCAAAAGAGATGATTCCATAGTCGAGTAATTACGTTCTCTCAACAGCTGCATGCAACATCTGCAGGGAAATCTGACGGATGTCACCAGTACATTGGAGAGTAACACACCCATCGCCAATGTAGTCTTCATTCCGGAATCTCTCCTCTTTACTGGTAGAAGGCAATATCGATTTCATTCGTCAGCTAAGTGCCGAGGAAGGGTTCGCAGAATATGTGGTTTGTATATATTTATTTGAGCGTTTTCAGATTAAGATCATTGGCAGTTAGAGGCGGTGGAACTGATATAGATTTAAGGTATAATCGGCTGACTGTCCTATTGACCCACCACTCTGTCATACGTCTTTCTTATTTGGCGGATTGAAGGAAAAGCTATCTCCATTTCAGCGTTAGCGGAGTTTGAAAAAAACTAAAGTTTTCTACTTAGAAATTCCTGATACTCCTACTGTTTTCCGCCGAGTGCACGTCTAAATCGTCCTCCATAAACCTTTTCATCATACGCCTCCAGACACCCATCACCGGCATTTGTAAGAATTGCCGGATCGTACAACTTGCGTCTACCAAAGTGACAACCAGTGCTTTTATAAAGATAAAGTCCCGCTTAGAGGCATGCTGTGCTGCAACATAATGCCCATCACTGCATAGTTTTTGGTGATTTCAGACGTCGCATTCTTCCGTATATTTAAAATTCGTTATTAGTAAGGTCCGTTAAAAATTTAAGTGAAATCGCTCATAAACCAAACCTGCTTCCTAAGAATATCAGCCCCTGTCAACATTATGTGCATTAACCTGGTTTATTTACCCTGGCAACTACACTTAGAGGTCAAC